ACCGTGGACGAAATGACGGATGCAACTGAAGGTGGAATGTTGACCTGAGCGATGATGCCTGGTCTTGTACCAATGACGTCATCGCGGTCATCTTGGGTCGGAGCATTGATGGTAATATTGGCCTTGGTCAGGTCTGAAGGACTGGATCCAGCTAGCGAAAGCACAAGACCACGCATTATGTCGTCAGCAGGTACACTCTGGACCTGTTATGTGAATTCGGACTTCAATTATTAGGTGGTCTGTTGAAAACAGATCACCTATTGTTTTCGTCAGAATTTTCTTTATTATTATTATTATTCTTTATTTTTATTTATTTCCTACACTTTTTTGTGCCTAGGATAACTCAAGTTCAATTTCGTCAATTTCATTCAATTTTGGCACAGTCATAGGTCATTGTGATGAGACGTGACAGGAACCTTTTCAAGGTCATCACGTCATCGTGACGTCATCCAGGCGCCATTTTGTGAAATCACGTTATCCATCATATCTTCATGATGCATAAGCAAAGGTCATTCATATTCATATCACATATATTTCAGGTCAAGGGTCAACAGGTCATGTCATCAAAGGTCACATAAAGGTCATGACGCGCACGTACGCGCGCGTCAAAATTTAAAAATGCTCAAAATCACTTAACTATTAGAGGAGAGTACGAATCAGGTCATTTTAAGCATTTCAAAATTTTCCGTCCGTAAGTGTCACCGCGCGCGTTGCGCGCGCTCATAACGCGCGGAAAAGGTCAAATTCAAATTGTTTGCATGATTTAGATTCCTCTTACCGTAAATGACAATTTACATTAATTTCAGTCACTCTTGACCTTTTATAAGGCCGTGAGCGCGCGTCAAAGTTCAAAATCCGCGCGGGCTGCTATGGGCAATATAATGCAAATTTGATCAAAAACATCCCATTTTAAAAATCAAAAAAGCTCTTCAGAGAGTCAATTGACCCCAACTTTTATATCATGGTTGGAAAAAGCATGAGTTGGAAATATGATTTCATGTCTCATTTGACCCTCAATTAACTCATGACGTCATCATAATGGCCTCCAAACTCAAAATTTTAATTTTCATATTATGACGTCAGCAGATTTTTGGAAAATTGATTGTATCTCTGTAAATGTTGATCAACTTTCTTTCAAATTTTGATATGTTCTACCTGAGAATCTTCTCTACAAATGCAGTCTACACGATATTTCATTTTGACAAAAGCATCATGGCGTATTTTTAAGATTAAAGGAGGCATGTCAATTTTTCACATTTTGCGTGTATTCTCTATGGGACATGACTTTTTCTCAAAACTGGATTCTACATTCTCGTCTTTTGCGAGCAATATCTCCGTCGTTTTATCTTTGTTTACGCTGAGCTTTGAGTATGTTGTAGCTGAGACAATAAGCTATCACAAGTGTGCCCTTTATTTTTCGATCAGATGCCGAGATCATGCTCATATTTCACTTACAAAGTGGGATTTGAGAATTCTTATTTCCCTTTACGTGTAATCTCTATGTGAAATTTTTTGGTATATCGGTAACGTACTTGACTTCCGACCTCGAGGTCCCTGGTTCGAGTCCGGGCGTCTCCAACAATTTTTTTTCTTCACTTTTTTTTTTCTTTTTGACCTTTCACTGTACCATCTCCTTTGAATATTAAAACACGTAGAATCGCAAATAATGTAATAAACAACCATATTTACTTTATTATTACCCTATTATCACTTGATCCATTACTTTTTGCATGTTATCCTTGTGGGAGATGACTTTTTCTCAAATCTGGATTCTACATTCCTGTCTTTTGCGAGCAATATCGCCGTTATTTCCGCTTGTTTTTTGTTGATTTTTGAGTATAATGTAGCTGAAACTATATGCTATCTACATCTCCCTCATTTTTTTAATCAGATGTCAGCATGATCATCATCATCATCAATATCATCATGATCATGATCATGATTATCAACATCATCATCGTCATCATCAACATTATCATTATCATCGTCATCATCGTCATCACCATTACTATCAAGATCATCATCATCATCATCATCATTGTTTACATGTCTATATAACTTCTCCCATTCTCAAATCTATCATAAGACTTAGACAGACCACCTTATTCGTCTTTGTGACGAATTAAAGTCTAGTTATTATTAATATTCTTATTATCATAATCATTATCATCATTATTTCTAATATTACTATCATTACAATTATTATTATTATTGTATTATAATGTTGTTGTAGAAATAGGGAACTGGGAGAGGAAACCTTCGCTTTGAACTATTCTCCCTTGACAAATTCGTAAAAGCAGATCGGTTGAGGTGTTCAAAAGTAATCTAAAATCATTTCTATTTGGATTGGAATATAATTAATTATTCCCTTTTATTTCATTTGTCAGTATTTGTATGAAATCCAAATGTTTTTATGTGATTTTTCCTTCGCAATAGTGCACCTTGGGTATTTGATTTTAAGTGGCTTTGGCGCCTTACAAATCGAATATTATCATCATCATCATCATCATCATCATCATTATCATTAATATTATTTGTATTATTGTCAATACTATCATCAATAACCTATTTTATTAATATTATTTTAATTCTTTTTCTATTTGATTAATTGTTATCATTATTGTCATCATTATTATTGTCATCGTTATTATTATCATTGTTATTATAATCGTTATCGTTGATGATGATTGAAAATGAAACGATTGCAACCATGCACATAAGTAAGGTATCCCACAAATTCTAAATATGAAGAATCATGCACACATAAATGCACAAATAATGATGTTGTTTGGCAGATCTACACAACTACATAAACAAAAATGGTGAAAGTGTCGCGCCTTGTTGGACACCAGATTGAATGGGACCACAATAGATGATTGGCAGTGTCAGATTTTTAAACAAAATATTTATTTTGAATATGCATGCAAACAATTATACAACTTGGAAGTGAACTTCTATATTTTAGTATACTGGTGGATATCAAATAATTTTTCGTAGCCTATGATATAAATGTAAAATCACCTGTACGGCTATATTTGGCTGCTGAATGATGAGCATTCCACCATCGTCAACATCAACACGACTGATTTGTTCCTCAAAAGCCTGGACAAATTTACTTATTGCCCCACCTTCTTCCTCTGCGGCTTCAAGTTCCTTTGTTTCTACCTGAGCTATATTGCTCACAATACTCGTTATAGAGTTTGTTACCTGTCAATTCAAACACAAAGGATGAAGATGGTTTAAACTATAGTAGGAGAAAGTTGCCAAATCTCGGAAATCAAACTGAATGACGATAGGATATTAAATAATTAAATAACATGACAGCCTTAGCACAGCTGTTCTTTTAAAGCCGTTACACAACTTCTGGATGAAGCAACTGCCAAGGTGTCAACACGATATGAAAGGGTAGTGAGATACCGAAATCTGTCATAGAACCAATAAGATATTATACAAAATTAAAAGAAAAAGAACCTGATACGGAGCAAGGCTCTAGTAAATTCTTCATTCACAGTAGTTTAGCTTTAAGGCGTCCAATATTATTAAAATCGATTATGATATTTACCGCTTTCACATCTATGGCAATTAAATACATGTACCGAAAGGAAGGCTCCAATTTGTTTACCATTAGATGATTATCAGAACATAATAAAATAACTGAATTCATAAAAAATCGCTAAGTCATGTTCAATATGATTGGTCTGGCATCGTGCAGAATACCTCTTCACTAGTAAGATTTTGATGCACAATGTTTGATGTTATCTCTGCCACAAACGTGATGTCATCTGATGTGATATCTTCGATGTTGGAAGTAACGGATGATACTTGCTGGCTCACTTCACCTGCGTTTTCTTCATCTACGATTACCTAAAATTTGAGGGGAAAATATCATTACAGCATGTTTATATTGAGTGATGTGACTTTCTCTCCTTTACCCTAATGAGGCCGAGGTATTTCAAGAATTTCTAATACCGGGGGGGGGGGTATTATGACAGGGGCTGATCCAGCAGGCGGCGAGGGGGGGGGGGGGGCAATTCGTGAGAAAATATTTAGCGGGGCATAAACGGGGGGGGGGGGGGTAATGAGCACTAGTTTTACTAAACACCCCCCCCCCCCCCTGAGGAAGAAAAAAAAGGTAGAAACATGGAGAGAAAAATTGGTACACATATTGAATTAGTATAATGAACATCATGGCAACAAAACTTATGCATCATTTCCCTTCGTTCATTTTTTTTTCGCAAAATTTTCAAAACATACCTACTTTGCAGTTTTACAGTATTCAAATGGTTGGGAAATAATTTGTTTGGTATATTTAAACACTTCAACGGATGAACTACATGGTTTGTTTAAAATTAAAATTAAGTACCAAAAAAAAACATTAATTGTCATAATTATCAAATAATAATCGTCTTTTACAAAAAAATTCTGGGTATAAAACATAAAAAGTGTTATATTGTTTTTTATATGTAGGATGAACCAAAGATGGGTCTCACTTAGTGAACATGAGTGTAAACCTTCTTAACAATGACACAGATCAAGTGATTTTGAAATGATTATTGATTCTTCGACAGGCTAGCACTCTAGCAAATGGAGAAAATGCACAGTTTTATTGACATGTGATCAATAATTGTAATTTGACAACCCTACCGTTGGTCCGAATTGCTCAAATTCGGTATCAAAATGTGCGGGGAATTGACAAAAAAGTAATAAAACATGGATTCGAAAATTAAAGGGGTTAAGACGCAGCGCAAAAACATTCTTACTCATTAGCGTTAAGGTAACATAAAATTAGCGAACATGTTTTCCTTAAAATCACATTTTACCAGGTTGTCATGATCAGTGGCATGTACAATATGCTAAACACAATTGCATTACATATGGAGGTTCTTTAAACAAGTCTCTTCTCAATGATTGAAATTTGAAAAGAAATATCCAAAAACCTGTGCAATTTCGTTGAGAATATCTGTGACATTTCTAAATGGTCCGCAGTTATCCACAGGTTGCCACTGGCTCTGGGTAATACCATCGCCGATACACTGAGCCCGTCCAATCGGTTCATTGACTGTTCGGAATAAAAATAAAAATACACATATATTTATCATATCAAAAGCACACCGGCAAACAATTATTACAGATACAAAAAAGAAGGGAACATACTAATGAAGTAAAGAAATACCGTCTATGACTGAAATTTCCTCAAGTAATTCATGACTCTGGAACTATTCAAAACATTTAACTACACGCGCGGATCTTGAATATTATTTTGGTCGGATGGCTGGGGCTTGGGGTTCCTGCATTCATTTTCTACGTGACCCTCGCTTTAATTCATTTATATTGATTTCATGAACACAGTTTGGAGGCTTGAATATCTATGAGGAGGGGCTTTTAGACCCTAAGCCCCTATTGATTCGCTAGTGCTCAATGATGGAGTAAAAACAAATTACATCGGTTGAACATCGTGATATTAAAGCTACTTTTGAAATGATATTGCGAGCTTATGAGTCATTCTCGATCGCGCAGTTGCCATTCATTAAAGGGAGTGTATCATGGCAAATACTGGTTAAAGCCGTCTACGTCTTCTTTTGGACAACTGCACGTAAACGAATGTACTTGATTAACTGGGTCAGCGCGCTAGCGTTCGCGAAACAGACCGAAGTTCTCCCCACGCTTCGGTTTCGCGTACGTTGGACGCATGTGAATGCTGCGGTCGCGTCGTCCGTAGTCGTATTATACCCGATTGGCCCCGCGCCATATCTGAACGAGCCTATAGGGAAATTATCATATTGATCGTACGCTTCCCCAAATTAAAGATGAACGAAAGACCCTCAAAACAAACCTTGAGTAGTGTTGAATGGACACATTCCTGTTGAATTTGCCCATGTTCCGTTTTCACCAACCGGAAATTCGACTTTTTCAAAGCGAGGAGATATCCATGAGATATTCTGGCAAATAGCTACACAAAAAAGAATGTAATATAATGTAATCACTATAAATACCCACACACCCACCCACACCCACACACACACACACACACACATACACGTGTGTAAATATATAAATGTATATATATATATATGTTTATATACTTTACGGCGTCATTACACGAACATGGTTAGTGAACAAATTGTTCATTATTAAAATAGACATGGTCATTAGCAGGACATTTTCGTGTCCTGTTAACGACTGAACAAACGAAGTAATGCCCTCTACGTACGTTTGAAGGCATGTAGAGGAAACCGCCAAGAAACAAAAGATTTAATCATTGGCCATTATTTTAATTGGTTATATTGTTTTTAATTTAGGGTTAGGGTAAGGGTTGCGGTTGCGGTTTAGGGCTGGGTTAGGGTAAAGGTATCTTGCGTTTCAAATTACCTAACGTACCGATGCCACACGTCCAGTTTAGTGGCGTATTCGGCATAGCCCAATCCCCTCCCCTTCAGAAGCCAATGTTAAAACAAATGCTTGCAATGAGTGATATTACGAAGGCGGGACAAACAAAATTATGACCCCTGGTTTTTCGCGTCACCAACCTGTCATCCCATCAATCTAAGGATACCCCACGTCCTTATACACAATAGATTGACTTTCACAACTACATGTATGTGAATGAAATTGGTACCGTTATCTTGAACTGAAATGGTGTTTGAATCGAGAAAACCGTTCGATTCATTGGCTAGATTTTCAAGAGATAGACCAATTAGATCTTGTGTCTCCGTTGCCGTCATATTGGTCCGCTCGATGTAGATATTCATGTCAGCTTTGACGCTTCCTGGTCTTAGGGCTCTGCATACTACTGATATACTCTGCAACCCAGTACTGGTTCGGACGCCTTGCTCCACCTATACACAGATTCAAAATAACAAACATAAAAGATAAAACGTTCAATTGATATTTCCCCTTATAAGACTGATACTCTTTTGTAACTTATTCAAGTATACGTCATAACCGTAAACCCTCCGCATGCAACATTGTGTCCATACTATATTCATAAGAATATAATGATATAATAGCATTTTTGAAAAAACTTGAAGAACTGAATGAAAGTATCTGTACTGTAAGTGTATAAACGGTGTTGTGAAAGAACTGAGATGACCGTTCGAATGTTTGAACGGCTTTTGCTGGGATATATTAATACATGTATATTATTAAGTTTCTATAATGATGACAAACAAGTTGAGTACTACAGTGCGTCCCAGATAAAACGAAACCGAGAATTATCGATGGTTTATCATAACTTAATCACAATTATAATTGATAAATGACACATATTTGGAAAGCTTACATCCTCCTCTTTCATTTGATGCAACTCATAATAATGCACATTTCAAGCATGAGTGATTAAAATCAATTTGAAGAGAGGGAAAAAAATCATTTGGCGGACGATATCTGAATTTCTAACAGAAAATCACATTTCTAGAAAGTTGAGTTTCTGTCCTTTCAGATGACACCTCAATCAGGAAAAATGAGCTAGGAATAACAAAGTTCTGTTTGTTTAAAGTAGTGTTTGCATTTCCATAATTTGATTAAACGATTTCGTTTTCACTGGCTGCCTGCCGTATCAACAAACGAAATTAACAAAAGACTTAACTCCGTTTCGTTGACAATCAGCCGTAGACGAAAGACTTCATGCATGGCTGATTGTCAACGAAACGGAGTTAAGTCTTTTGTCAATTCTGCTTTTTGCTACGGCAGGCAGCCAGTGAAAACGAATTTGCTTGCTAAAATTATGAAAATATAAGGTCTACTTTAAACAAACAGAACTTTGTCATTACTTGCTCATTTTTCCTGACTGAGGTGTCATATGAAAGGGCAGAAACACAACTTTCTAGAAATCTGATTTTCTCTTTGAAATTCAAATACTGCCCGCCAAACGACTTTTCGGTTTTCTCTCTTCAAATTGATTTTAATCACTCATGCGTGAATTATGCATCATAATGAGTTGCATCAAATGAAAGAAGAGGATCTAAGCTTTCCAAATATGTGTCATTTATTGATTATAGATGTGATTAAGTTATGATAAAACATCGATAATTCTCGGTTTCGTTTTTTCTGGGACGCACTGTATATAAAGGTGAGAAATAACTTGTGAGCTTACTCGTTCTGTTGTCTCAGTTTGGACATGTTGGAATAATTATATAGAGAAAAGTGTTCCCTGAGAATAATGGTTCTCATGGTTTAAAAGCCATCATATTCGAAATCAAGGCGAAAGCAAGACGTGTCTTGCGCATTTCTGACCAAATTACCTGAATGTCGTTAAAGAGTATCACTGACTCAAGCCTGGTCGCACATACAAAAAACTGTATTTAAATGAATAGTTGTACATGAATCTTGTGGGTTTAAACTTACAGCTTATTCAAAAATTATCTGAAGCAAGTATGGTCATAATCGAATAAACATTTGCAAAGTTATTTGTCACAAAAGAGCTCACAGAATTAGCTTTGACCTTAGAATGTGACCCTCGACAGCACCATAACGGGAAGGTCCCCCAAAGGCATATCTTCCTCAAGTTGAATCACAAATAATAGTTGCTGATTTATTTGTCACAAGAGAGTCCAGGTCTGCAGATAAACGGAGGAAGAAGGCCTTCCGAATCCTTTAGTCTTGTCTCCACCATGAGAAGAGCTGAAAATGTTTATGCCATATGTACGTGCAATCAGTCTTCACCAAATCCCTGCCAGGAAACTTGTTGCACAACGTACTCGCACTCTATTATTACATTGTCTTTTTTAAACCCAAAACAATGTTACGCCAACCTTGCAGAATATCACAAGAGTGGGATAGGCCTTTTTGATATGTACCAATTACTGTTAAGATATACTTACATAGGTGCTAATGTTGAGCGCTGTTTCTTTATAGAGTTTAGACGTTTGGTCATGAAGCTCATCGCTGAATGGAATGGCAAATCTAGCGTTCAAAACTATTATATTGGTCAGATCTGAAAATACAAACAAACGCATTGAGAATCAGTGGCACAGATTCAGGGGAGGGCACAGAGGAACCCCCCCCGGCCCGAGGAAAGGGGGAAATTCTCCTGATAAAGAAGGCTTAGAGCCCCCAAAATACCAAAATACAAGTACCTTAAACATAAATTTAAGATAATGTCTTTAAATACGAATTCGATATTAAATCAGTATTTGTATGAGAACATTTCGCTCATACTTAACACATAATGTACCCAGTATAATCACGTTCGTTTTGTTTTACGCGCTGTTATCTCTCAATTGCGATCACATTTTTGTTGTTGTTATTTCTTATTTTCACGCGTAGCATTAGAAATAACATTAATATCTTCAAAACTTAATTGAATGAAGAAATTCCTAATCTGTATATAATTTCTTCTCCTATAGAGGTTTGATTAAGACGTGTATCAGATATATATATATAATCAATGTAAATGAATTTTGAATGAATAATTTGCTTATTATTTGCCACGTTGCCTGACAAAGACAGAGTTTACAGGCTTGTAATGCTGTTTAATACAGAGGATCTGTAAATCTTCAATAACGTATGCTTGCTAGTTCCATGCTCCCTTCATGAAAATTCTCGCAATCACAAGGGTATTCTACGTGTTTAGAGGGCAGAGATGAGATCTTGCTAGAGTACACAGGTCGCCTTGCTTAAAGGCTAGACACAACCCTAATTTTTTATAATTTGTATGTGACTTTGGTTTGATTCAAGCATAGTTTTTACCTTTGACATATACAGATGCTCGCATCGTGTCTAAAGTTTCTCCATTTCTCCCCGAGCCTCGGCAGAAGTAATACCCGATGTCACTTGGCGTGACAGACATGATTATCAAAGGATTCTGAATTTCACTGTTAGGCAAAAGGACATCGTCTTTGTACCAGTGGTATCGCTTGACATTGTTGAAACTACATGTCAGCTCCACATAGGCATTGATGTCGACTATCTGGCTTGACGGATGGACAGAAACCTCCAAAGGAACTGTATTCGAGGTAGGAATAAGAACATATGACGGTGAATGAGGTGATTTTGTTTTCAATATTGATGATAATGATAATGATGATGGTGACAAAAGTAATAAAAGTAATAATGATGATGATTATAAGTTGAAGAAGGAAAAGAAGAGGAATAATATTGATAAAAAACAATCAAATTAATTATGATAACAATAATACCACGACTAATGATGATAATAAAACTTAAAATAATACTATTAATAATTATCATTGGATTTATATAGCGCCTTTTCCAAAGAATACAAGGCGCAGTCTCTTAGACTATCGACAATTTAAGAGGAGTTGTACAGGTAAGTTTTCAGTTGAATTTTGAAGAAATCTAGTGAAGTACTGTTTCTTAAGAACGAGGGGAGTTTGTTCCAGGGACGTAGGGCTAAGGACTGGAAGGATTTATTACCCTACTACCTGTATTATTCACAATAATGATAATAATAACAGCTACATTTATAAATACGAAATACCAAGGGGATGCTCAAGGCACCTACAAAATACTATTATGATTCCTACACTGGCTAGCCTAGCTTCCCTAAGGCTCTGCAAGCATTCAAAGAATACATTACTAACATGTGTCAATTTCCTACACCTGGGGGGTGTTTCATAAAGCTGTTCGTAAGTTACGCACGACTTTACGCACGACTGGAACATGTTCTCGGGTGCTAATCAGATTCTCAATCATTTACATGTAGCACAAGAACATATCACCAGTCGTGCGTAAAGTCGTGCGTAACTTACGAACAGCTTTATGAAACACCCCCTGGGTAGATAGTGACAAATGTCTTGTCAAAAGACAATGGTGCTGTCCTGAATCACAAACCATGTGATCCAAAGGAGGTAGTATAAGCTCTTTGGTGATCCTCAGTCCGGTGACGTATGCATAAGACCATCTTCAACGTGTTAGGAGGACTGGACTTCAAAGATTTAATCCATAGATTAAACAAGTAATGTTGTCCCGGCATGATTGCATTTGTTATGACAAGTTTTAGGGTTAGGGTTAGGATTATTATTAGGGTTAGGGTTAGAATTAAAGTTAGAGTATGCTGGGACAAATCGGCCCCGTTTTTGCAGCGGGGCCGAGTTGTCCCCGAGTCCGAGTTAGCCCGGATCTTTGATATTCATTCACTTATACAATAGAAACGACGTGAATAGCGACAGCGGATGAATATATACCACCTCCCCCAGAAAAGGAAAGTATCTCGATGTTTTATTTCATATCCAGATATGATGACAAGATATTTGATTTACTTATTCGGAAATAAAAAAGGTTTCATTCTCATTTCTGAGGGTAAAAAATTGTGTCAAAACATTTTCCAAATTTTGGTTCCTATTCACCCGTCTTTCGAAACGATGTGAATCATGGATTTGCAAAACGTAATTTCGAGGGCCCTTTTTCGATCCGAACACTAACTTAGGGTAAAGTTGAAATGATATCACTTTTTCTCGATGTTTGTCCACGTAACTTTATTATATTTTTAATGGATGAGATGAATGAATATATCTAAATAATACTTCAAAGAACTTTAGCACATAATAGTTAATAATAAGCTGGACAACTTTGTCAAAATATTAGAGACACATCTCGGCTTCTGTAGAAGCCCGTCGTATCCAAAGTGTTAAGATGCCTACAAGTAAATTCAAACATATGACTTACGAGTTGGTTCATCACAATGGATCCCCTCATAATGATCTCGGCAATCACACTCGTACTGCCCTTGTCCAATGGGACGACAGACACCATTGACGCACGGGTTTCGTTGGGTGCAAGGATCGGCGTTACCTGTCAAAAGTTAGTTTCTAGTAATTATTGTAGTAGTATATAACTTACGAATGAATGCTTGCAGCTTTCATCCTCAGTTTCCTGGGTACCAGTGTCTAGACATAATGTTATGATGTGTTTACTTTTAAGATATGAAGGGGGAATCTCAAAGAAGAAAAACATGGAAAGATTCAACCACTGATAACAGCTTGAGAGCTCTAAACGAAAATCATGGGCGAAAAAACCCGAGATAACTTTATTTTCCCACGTTTATGTTTTTTCAAAGGCTTATTCCGAAACGAAAATTATCCATACTTGAAGGTTCGTGATTCTGAAAATTAAATAGTGTTCATTCAACTTAGAAGATTCTTAATTCCGAAAATTACACAAGGTTCATAATTATGAAAACGAATTGAGGTTTGAAATTCAGAAGGTTCGTAATACCATACACGAGTTCGGGTTCGATTATAAATATTTGGAATAACGAACCAATGTAAATATGGACTCTTTTTAATAGTTTGCCATTCCGAATCCTATAAGAACTTCAGAATGAAAAACTCTGTACTATTTCCAGAGTTTTGGACAATTGGGAAAAATGCCATGTTTACCAAAATAACAAGGCATTTCGCTGGAGTTTATTATGTGTATGTGAATAATACATGTATATTTACATACATACATACTTACACACATACGTTCATATGTTTGACATGTCAGTATATGTGTCTTTGTATTGTGAAAATGGCTTCCTAAATTCCCATTCGATTTAGCTGTACTGCTTACTTATTTCACAGTTCGGGCCGATGAATAGATCCATGCAAATACACTGGTAAACGAGTTCAGTTTGCTGACAAGTACCTCCATTTAGACAGGGTGTTGGAAGACATGCGTTCCCTGAACACAGAAAAGGGAGCAAAATGTGAAGAGTGATAAAGGGAAATAATCATCATGGGAATAATTCCTGAGATCCACGTGGTTGACCATTCTGTTTGAATTTATTGATGAAAATGCGCTTCAATAAAATGTTATATGCATTAAAATAGAACTATACACCTATATAAAAGATGTATGTGCTTAATTTATGGGGTTAGCAGCTGCTGTTTGGCATTCGAAATGACATACACTGTTGTGTTGGTCATAATGGTGGAATAGTTATTTTATTCCAATTAATGGAATGATTTTGACAATGATTTATTCCTAATAGATCTAAATAATAATATAAATTCTCTGATTTTATTAAATAATGATTTGCGAGTATTTGTTTTGCGTGACTTCTAAAGCATGTGTGTACTACTAAGCTAATCAACTAGGGGACCTACGTCCTTAAGTCATAACTGACAGTAATGAGGATTGATGCCTCACACAAGGGCACTAATATAGCACATCGACACGGTTTGATCCTGGGGCCTCACAGTAACGAGGCTATTGCTTAGCCACTGAATCATGACTGTACGCAGCGTGGGCTAGGGAACGGGGCCGCCCCCACAAATGCAAAAAAAAGAAGAAAATGCAATGAATTATCAATAATTCATTGTATTTCCCCCCGGTCCCCGACAAAAAATTCCTCTGTAGGGCCATGCATTATGGTTCAAGGCATGGCCAAACAGATTATTTTTTATCGGTTGGGGGTCGGGGCAGAATGCACTGAATTATTGATAATTAATTGCATTTCTCTTTTTTTTTGTATTTGTGGAGGCGGTCCCGCTGCGTCTCATATTTGAAAAATGTTTTGTGCAAAAGTAGTAAAAATATCCTTCCCTTCCAATGAAATCCAAACTAAATGTCATTATTGTGAAAAAAAGAAAATTTCTCTTTAGTATTTTTCATGTTAGTTCCTCACTTGTTTACAATTGATCAATGTTACAGTTAAAGAAGCTTGTATACACAATCTGCAGTGTCTTAGAGATTTAGAATGCTTCGTTTATGCGTTCAATTCAATGTATTTATTAGTGCATTGTACGCTCAGCATGTATTTTTTTTGTTCTCGCTTCCATGTAAATTGAAGGCTAAGACAAAGTTTACAAAGAAAATAAATATGATGCAAAGCATAAATAAGCAATGGACATAAAAATGCTCTCATATGACATCGGCAGAGCAAGAATTAAAACTCCTATGGAAAGCTAACGTTGAGCACAAGAAATTCTCTTACTTTGTAAAGGATACTATCTTGACTCTTAAAGCGTCACTGTGTGCCCATGCCTTGAGCCATAATGCATGGCCCTACAGAGGAATTTTTCTGATGGGGACCGGGGGGAAATGCAATGAATTATTGACAATTTATTGCATTTTCCGTTTTTTTCTTTATTTATTGAAACTGCCCCCTACCCTAGCCCCCGCTGCGTACAGTCATTATTCAATGACAAAGCAATGGCCTCGTAACTGTAAGGCCCCAAAATCAAAACCGTGTCGATGTGCTACATTAGTGCCCATTTGTGGGGCATTAATCCTCATTACTGTCATTTATGACTTAAGGGCGTAGGTCCCCTATTTGATAAGCATAGTAGCAAACACATGCTTTAGCAGTCACGCAAAACACACATTGGCAAACTATTATTCAATAAAATCTGAGAATGTATACTATTATTTAGATATATTATTTTTAAATTGTTTTTAAAATAATTCCATAAATTGGGGTAAAAAAACAACATTCCAACTATATGAGCGACAGTGTAGTTGATAACGTAGTACAAAACAATAATTATGTATTTCGATGATTATAACAAATTGTCTACATATCTCCTATTACATATGAATGACGTTATCAATGACCATACGCAATGTATTTCATTTATACCAGAATGCTAAAATCTCTTTAATCTCGTTAATTATATTCGACTCAAACATTAACATGACTTTTTACTTTCATAGTTTATCGTAGGCCTTTAAATTCGATGGGTTAGACACGCATCATTTCCTACCGGTAATTTGCATTGTATGAATTGAATGTAATTAAGTAATGTAAGTTTACATTATGAAGTTATAACGTAAGGTCGTTTTATCAATCAACCGATTGCACGAATATTCAATTCTTACTGAGTATTTTTATTCATGAATTACTTTAATCTAATCCTATCTAACCAGACAAAGCCGTTCTTATCACCTTCCACGTAATGTCACAATTTTTGTCAATAATATATATAGTTACGTGGGAAGGAACTTCAAACACATTTAGTTAATACAGACTCTCTTTATCTTATTTCAAGTGTACCAATCACCAAAAGTCATTTGCTCCCGTTGTCAGGGGTTTCATGTTGCTAAACAAAATCAAATTTATATTTATAAGCTTCAAATATTATTTCTATATAGAGAAACTGCAAGTTTAAATCGTACTCTCTCAATTACGATAGAAAAGGGCCCGCACGGAACAGTCCGATTTTTGATTTTATGTTATTTCTTTTTCTCCATACTTACGATGCGTTGAATGAATGGTGGTGGTGGCTATTTTACCTGACTGCTAAGAAAGCATAAATGCTTGTTAAGCTATGGTCACATCACCTAAAAGTAACCTGCTTGGCAGCCGGGCGGCGAGTTTTGAGCCAATTTCGCCCAGGCACCGAGCAGCGGCCGCCCGGGCACCGCTTGTTTTTAGGTCATCGCTCGGTCGCTGCTGAAGTTTTAACGCGAAGTTAAAGCTATGGTCACATCACCTAAAAGTAGCCTGCTCGGCGACCGGGCGGCGAGTTTTGAGCCAATTTTGCCTAGGCACCGAGCGGCGGCCGCCCGGCACCACTTGTTTTTAGGGCATCGCTCGGTCGCTGCTGCAGTTTTGTGCTATGGTCACATTACCCAAAAGTAGCCTGCTTGGCGGCCGAGCGGCGAGTTTTTATCCAATTTCGCCCAGGCACCGAGCGGCGGCCGCCCGGGCACCAGTCTTGTTTTTAAGGCATTGCTCGGTCGCTGCTGAAGTTTTAGGGCGGAGCTCACTTTAACTCGCCGCTCAAACTACGCTCAGTGTGACCGAACGGTCGCCGCCCGGGCGCCGACCTAATCAAGCGTTCACCGTCGAGCAATTTAGGTCAAAAATCGAAGCCGCTAGGTCAAAGGCTGCTGAGCGTTCGCTGCCCGGTCGCCTCCTGGTCGCCGCTGAGAGCTCAGTCGGTCACTGCACGGCGAGCTCAAATTCGGTCAGCAACCTTTGACCTAGCGGCTTTGATTTTTGATTTTTGACCTAAATCGCTCGACGGCGAACGCTCGATTAGGTCGGTGTCCGGGCGGCGAACGCCCGGACACCGAGCGTATTTTGTCCCCCCGCCGATCACCAGCCGGCTGCCCGGCAATTTCCTTAAAATTAGCCGGTGGCCGGTGGGAGACCGCTCGGTTATCGGTGGGTCATCGGTCGGTCACTACCGGGGCGCAGCCAGTAGAAGCTCTCCGAATTCGGCCAGTTTTTACCTAAAATTGACTGGCGACCGACGGGAAATCGAAATTGCACCGCCCAGGCATCGCTGGGGCTCTACAGCCTGCTCGACTTCTCCAACAAAATCCTTGGGCGATTCCTAAATTCCAGCGGCGACCAAGCAGGCTACTAATCGGTCGGTCGCTGTTCTGATTTGTGACCATAGCTTAAAATTCAGGCGGCGCCTGCTCACTTTCATTCGCCGCCCAAAGTAGGCTCGCTGTGTCCGGGCGGTCACCGGCCGGGCCCCGACCTAATTGAGCGTTCGCCGTCGAGCGATTTAGGTCAAAAATCGAAGCCGCTAGGTCAAAGGCTGCTGAGCGTTCGCCGCCCGGTTTCCGTCCGGTTCCCGCTGGGAGATCAGTCGGTCATGGTCGGAGAGTTCAAAATCGGTCAGCAACCTTTGACCTAGCGGCTTTGATTTTTGACCTAAATTGCTCGACGGCGATCGCTCGATTAGGTCGGTGTCCGGGGGCGAACGCCCGGACACCGAGCGTATTTTGGCGCCCCGCCGATCACCGGCCGGCTGCCGGGCAATTTCCTTAAAATTAGCTGGTGGCCGGTGGGAGACCATTCGGGTATCGGTGGGTCATGGCTGGGTCACTGCCGGGACGCCGCCCGGAGAAGCCCTCCGATTTCGCCCAGTTTTTACCTAAAGTTGAAATCGACAGGGCACCGCCGTGGCATCGCTGGGGCTCTACAGCCTGCTCTACTTCTCCAAAAATCGACCGGCGAAGCCTAAATTCCAGCGGTGACCGAGCAGGCTACTATTCGGTCGGTCGCCGCTCTGATTTGTGACCATAGCTTACGAAAGCAACCAGACGGCCGACGGATTTAGGTCCTCTCCGAGGGACCTGGTAATGAGGATTAATGCCTTACCAAAGGGCACTAGCGCATCGCCTTGGTTTCGAACCCGGGTTAACGGATAACGAGACCATTGCTCTACCGACTGAGCTATCGCACCTCGTCAGCAGATAGGTTTCAAGAAAACAAAAATTTGAGCTACATTTTATACATTCTTGCTACGCACAAATATATTCTTTTAGGCGATACACTTTAAAGGTAGTACAAAGTTTTGGGAAATTTAGAAAATTGGGTGGATAGTGATTCTTTACAATTTTGATATATTTGGATGCCCCTGTGGATGTATAATAAGCACTAGCAAATTTAGCCCCTAAAACACTTCTGATTTTGCGAAGAATTGAATATAAACATTTACCGGTGCTCCTGGTAAATTTTGATAAATTTCAAATTGAGTTGAGATATATTATTTCCAAACGGGAATAGCTAATCGGTAGATTTTAGTCAAGAAACATTGTTTTATAGCTTTATTAATATATTGACCTTGAGAGGGAGCTACACAACATAAAGAGTTTATAATGTACAATCTCATAATTTGAGACTCGATTTCAACTGCAACAACGATCACTGAATATTGTAGGATCGCATATGCTTCCAATATGTTCATTTGAACCAAATTCATGACCCCATACCGAATCTTTGTATTACCTTTAAATGTAAATCTATCTGAAATAATTCTCTCTTGAATAGTGCAACACCCCATGACTCCTAATTCTTGCTTCCTCTTTAAGTACATACATACTAGATTTCTCAATATTCCAATTCAGATTGTGCATTAAGCTCCTTAGGTATCTTATATAACTCGGTACGATTTTTCCCTCCTATTACTTGTATTAAAATCATGTATCTATTAAACCATCTATCTATCTATTCAGTCGAACCGTCGAACTGACAACAAACCGACTCCATGCCATCGATTTCATTGGCGGCTAAAGAAAATCGTTACGGTGTCATTATTTGTTCGATCACGAGTCGGTCCGGAGTTGGTTTTATTGTTAGTGTGACTAGAGCAGGGTACGAAGCACATTGAGCGATGCAGTGATATCCATCACATACTCACTTGATAGGTCAATGGAAATTTTCTCAACCTCCATTTTTTAGACTACTGTAACCCTTTGTGTTGGATAATTATCAAGCTATAACTGGTAAGATACCAGTTATCAATGCTTCAATACAGAGGGCTTACGATTACATGAATATTAACACTCACGTGATAGTTTAATGGAAATTATCTCAACGTCGACATGGAGACTGGAAACATTATTTGCTCCTATGACAGCAAACCACATCTCATTGGTATCTACATAGACATCATCAGGCTGGTAGTCTATTTGTCCATGTACATATACCCCAACAGGAGCCGGGTAGTTTGTATATCCAAGAATAGTTGTGATGACAGACTGTATGTCAGACGGGTCGTTCCCTGTCCCTATTTGGACTTTAGCACCGTCATATAGATACACATCTCGGAACACTACTCGAAATCCATTCGTAACGTTTGTTGTTATCAAGTTTGCGTTATATAAACGTGTTGTGGAGGTCCATGGGATGAAGATGAAATGTGATTCGCCTTCCGTGAGATAATTTGCTGAATATTCTGTAAGGAAGACAAAGACAAGATAGAAAGACAGGAATATATTATACACAAGAACCAAAAAAGTCACCTGCAGTCGATTTTTATAAGTTCTTCTATTGACTGGTAGATAAGCTTCGCCTTCTTGCACTGACAGCTTATTTGGGAGCCTCTACCGAAAACAAATCTTGTATTTTACATACTGCTTGACCCCCCTAATTTACTCAGAGGAAGGGACATTTCCTTCAAAATGTATAGACCTAACAGTATAATCAGAGTTCCCGAAACAGAGCCCAATGTCGGGTCGTTTTCAACCCATCTACCACTTGCGAGAAATTTTCCTAGAAGAAATTATGACATGACATTTATAAACACGAAAACCTACCAACTTTAAACAGGGATTGGATGATATCAGATGCCCTTTTAACAAATGGCAGCCTTTTCCCCTTTAAATCATATGGACATAATTTGTTAAGGAAAATTTCTTTTCAATTACAAAATATGGAGACTGGCCTGTCCTAACATGCAGACATATATGTTTTCTAATTGAAGATATCTGGTGCTTCGACAAGACTTCATGTGGTCTGTTGAGGCAATTTACGGGGATTAACTCGACAGCTACACTCTGCCTGCCATACTTTTTATCAATGAATTTGATGGTACTTTGAGGGTCGAAATCGTATGGTATTAATTGGGTTACTATTGAGGACCAGTCTTTGGCTTCTACAAAGTTGTGAAAAGCCGATGGATCAAAATTGGACCCCCTAATAGGCCGAGAGCACAAAAGCCATAACCCCATAAAAAATTATCCATTAACATTCAATGAGACAGACAAAACAAGTCTGTCTTTAAAACTTTCTCCATCGTAGAACTGCGATATACTAATATAATTCTGATATTCATAAGAAAGTGGTAAAAAGAATTTGAAAAAATGGGAGTTTCGAGTCTTCATATTTCCGCACCCGTATTCTAACACCATGTTTGTGTACCTGGACCCTGTTTTATGAAACTAGTTATTAATAAGAAGTTATGTTAACTGTAATAAGCTACTTAAATCTTGACATTTGATTGGCTGAGAGCAAATTTATCATAGTATCTAAGAATTAACCTATGCTAGAAAATCATGAAGTACAATAAATACCTGTAATATTTATAAAGAACGCTTTACTAAATATAATTTGTTATTGACTTACTGCACGCTAATTCATCCTCGTAATGTTCGCAGTGGTAAAGTCCATCGCAAAGGACAGTCGGTGACACGCTCATGTTAGAGCTCGTACAGGCAAATAAGGCTAGCAGAAGATAGAAGATGGAGAGAAAATAACTTATGATAAGCTCATAATGCTCTGAAATGTTACAATTGAATTATATTATGTTTTTTTAAATATAGGCGCGTCAAAATTCACCTTCTTTATACTATTATTTGTGGTAAAACTGAAAACATGGATGATCTTCATCGACAGGTATAAGAAAGCTAACAAGAGGTTGTTTTTTCTGCGTAAGTTGAAAAGTTTCCATATAGATGCAACTATCCTGACCCTGTTCTACAATTCAATAATAAAGAGTGTCTTGCTTTTCAATATTATATGTTCATTTGGCAATCTCTCAAAACAGGACAAGAAGAAATTGGAAAGGCCACGTAAAATAGCATAATTGGGGTAGAAAAAGCTGCTGTCGAGTCTCATTGTACTGAGCAAATTGTTGATAAGGTCTGTGCAATCATGAAAGACAATACCCATCCACTTCATTTATTTTATTCATTTAATCTTTCTGGTATCCGACTTCGCCCCACCCCAACCCGCCTTTCACGATTCAGATATTCATTTGTACCCGACTCTGTTTATAAATTCAACTCACAGGTTAAACGTTAAACTTCTGCGTCGGAAATTAATTGTATGATTTGAAACACCAATGACCAAGGCTTAATTCTGAAACTCATGATTTGAAGTACATGTACCAATGCCCATTTTTTTGTCGCTTCATTATCTTTTGCATGTATTTGTTCCTTATTTTATATATTTCATTCTATAAACGTGATGTATTTATTTCTTGATAATTATGTATTTTGTTGAATATGACTGTAACGCCAGTGGAAAACAATTTTCTATGTAACTTTTTTGCAAAGACCAAATAAAGTATGTTGTATCTTGTATCTTGTAGTATCTTGTATAACCAGTAAAACACCGGTTATCACTGCTTCAATAGACATAACTTTATATTCTACCGATATTTCAAAAGTAAATTAATTTAAAACTTACATGATAGGTCAATGGAAATGATTTCAACGTCCATTCCGAGGCTGGAGTAACCATTTGCTCCTATGACAGCAAACCACATCTCATTGGTATCTACATAGACATCATCAGGCTCGTAGTATATGCTTCCATCGATAGTTGTGGTGCCAGACTGTATGTCAGACGGATCGTTGCCTGTCCCTATTTGGACTTTAGCACCATTATTGAGATACAAATCTCGGAACACAACTCGAAATCCATTCGTAGCGTTTGTTTTTAGCAAGATTGCATTATAGAATCGTGTTGTGCTGGTGTGTGTTAAGGAGATGAAATGTGATTCGCCTTCCTGGAGATAAGTTGCTGAATAATCTGAAAGGTTAAAAAAAAAAAAAAAAAAAAAAAAAAAGGCACCTGTCGATATTTTTGTCAATTCTTCAACAAGAGATAGGTAGATAAGCTTCATCATCTTGCATCGATATCTAATCTGGCAGCCTCTCCCGAAAAAAATGCGTATAAGCAAAACTGCTTAACTCCCCTTATTTACCTAGAGGAAAGGATATTCCCCCAAAAATGTATAGACCTAACCGTATATATCAGAGTTCCCAAAACAGATACCAATGTCGGGTTGGTTTCAACCAATCTACCGCTTGCGAGAAATTTGGCGAGTAGAAATTATGACATGACATTATAAACACGAAAATCTACAAACTTTGAACAGGGATCGGTTGATAGAGTCAGATGCCCCTTTAAGGAATGAGAGCATTTTCCCTTTAAATCATATGGACACAATTTGTAAATGAAACTTCCCTTTTCATTACAAAATATAGAGACTGGCCTGTCCTAATATGCAGACATATATGTTTTCTAAATGATGATATCTGGTGCTTGGAGAAAACTTCATGTGGTCAGTCGAGGCAATTTACGGGGATTAACCCGACAGCTACACTCTGCCTGCCATAATTTGTATCAATGAATTTGATGGTACTTTGATGGTCGAAATCGTATGGTATTAAATGGGTTACTATTAAGGACCAGTCTTTGGCTTCTACAAAGTTGTGAAAAGTCGATGGATCAAAATTGGACCCCTAATAGGCCGAGAGCACACAAGCCATAACCCCAGTGACTAAATTATCCATTAATATTCAATGAGACAGACAAAACAAGTCTGTCTTTATAAATTTCTCCATCGTAGAACTGCAATACACTAATAGAATTATGATATTCATAAGAAAGTAGAAAAGAATATGAGAGAATGGGAGTTTCAAGTCTTCATATTTCCGCACCCGTATTCCAACACCATGTTTGTGTACCTGGGTCCTGTTTAATGAAACTAGTTATTAATAACAATTTATGATAACTGTAATAAGCTACATAAATCTTGACATTTGATTGGCTGAGTGTAAAATTTCATAGTATCTAAGAATTAACATATGCTAGAAAATAATGAAGTACAATAAACAAAAACCTGTAATATTTACAAAGAACGCATTACTAAATATAATTTGTTATTGACTTACTGCACGCTAATTCATCCTCGTAATGATCGCAGTGGTAAAGTCCATCGCAAAGGACAGTCGGTGACACGCTCATGTTAGAGCTTGAACAGGCAAATAAGGCTGGTAGAAGATAGAAGATGAAGAAAAAAATAACTTATGATTAGCTCGTAATGCTCTTAAATGTTACAATTGAATACACTATGTTTCTTTAAATACTTTCAGTAATTAGGCGCGTCAGAATTCACCTTCTTTATACTGTAGTGACTTGAACTTTTCTGAGGTCACAAATGTTTACCAACATTGTAAATACTCAGCATTTTAAGCATACCTTTCGTTAGTACTCTCCGTTCAGCCAGCTTCAATAACAATAACAATCTACAGCTGCACATTCTAAACATTCTCTTAGTTAATTTCATCCGTGGAACCACCCAGCAACAAGAGTGTTATTTTAGTTACTCCAATCGGACCGCACCTTATTGTTTAATAAGCCAATCACCACACCTTTAGCGCACTTGGAAAAGTCTCCACACACGAATTTTACTCACTCCTCCTGTTTTCTGTTTCGACACTCGGACGCGTTTTTTTATAGGAAGAGTCCTGATTTTACAACAAGCGTTATTTCGTCGGTTTCACTTAAATAGTGAGTATTCATCATCATCGTTCTTTTGAGGACTCTATTGCAATTCAGATTTACGTCCTCTAGTTTATTTCGGAAAAGTGCAATATTGAACTGTAAGGCTTGTGTGCCTTCTTCATTCGCGTTCGCTAGCTAGCTAGTCGCGCTCCACGTGTGTATACATGCAGCAGAGTCATCACCTCGCTACTAGCACTATTCTTCCTCTGCATGATTCCGTTCCTGTTTCATTCTCCACTCGCGATATCCGCTCAGAAGATTAGAATAACGGTAAGAATATTCATTTCGTGTTATCAGCAACAATTATTCCTACAATGGTGACCCCGAATTTTTTGTTGTTCTTCTACGAGCGATATTTCCTTTGTGTGCATGATGACGGCGACATCACCGTCAACGGAAATGCCCGACTCCGACTTAAATTCGCCGCGGCCGCGAAGGCACCGGGCAGTATCGGGCCAGCTGTTACGGCGTTCGGACTCAAGCTTCCGCCGTACTGGCCGAGCGACCCAGCACTGTGGTTCGCCCAAGTTGAGGCGCAGTTTTTGACGCGGGGTATTACTAGACAAGAGACAAAGTTTGCCCACGTCATTAGCTCTTTACAGCCTGATGTAGCACAGGAGGTCAGAGATTTTATTATTGCCCCACCTGCTAAGGATCGTTACGACAAACTCAAGACAGAACTCGTCAAACGAACCGGTGTTTCTGAGCAGAAACGAATTCACCAACTCCTCAATGCTGAAGAATTAGGCGATCGCAAGCCTACTCAACTTCTCAGTCGTCGCATGCGACAACTACTAGGAGAGTCTACGTTGGAAGATAGTATTTTGAAGCAACTATTTTTGCAACGACTACCGAATAACGTCAGGATTATTCTCGCTTCATCATCCGACTCAGTCCCTATCGAACAGTTAGCAGAGTTAGCGGATAGAATCTTGGAGATTTCTTCCCCACTTTCTGTTTCTGCTGTAGATTTCACGCCTGCTAGTACTACTGGGACTCGTGGGAGTGCTGTTTCCTCATCACCTCCACAAGTTGCTGCGGAGGTTCAAAAGCTTTCCAGGCAGGTCACACAGCTCACAGCACAGGTGCAGGCTCTGACTTCTTCCCTCCAAGAAGATCGTCGTAGTCGAAGTCAGCATCGAGGTGCATCTCATCAAGTTTGACGTCCTTCCAGCTCTAAGAGTCCACGGAGACAACAGCGTCATCAAGGAGGTGAGTGCTGGTATCACTGGACTTATGGTGACAGAGCTCGCAAGTGTGTGAGCCCGTGCTCGTCCAGCCGCCGACATTCGACATCGCATTCGACACCGCATTCAACCTCGCAGTCATACCCACAGGGAAACGAACTAGCCAAGGAATAGCGGCGACAAGTTCCCTTGGCAACAAACTTTATAGTCGTCTTTTCTACATTCTCGATAAGAACTCGGGCAAGCGTTTCCTGGTTGACACAGGAGCCGAAGTGAATATTTTTCCCCAGTCACTGTTGGAGAAATCTCAATTTTCATCGGTCGAAGTGTCGAAGATCCAACTTCAAGCAGTCAATTATTCGCCGATTAACACTTTCGGTGAGCGATCTTTTACTTTGGATCTTGGATTGCGACGAGTGTTTCGCTGGATTTTTATTGTCACAGATTTGAAGACGCCTATATTAGGAGCGGATTTTCTTACTAACTTTGGTTTATTCGTAGACGTGAAACATCGCAGGTTGATCGACACTAAAACCAATCTTAGTGTGTGTGGATTCGGCGCCTACACGGGGACTATCAGTCCCATGTATGTGAGAGGGGTATCTGCATGACCGCTTTCACGTTCTCCTCCGCAGCTACCAGGACATTACTCTCCCGGTATACAAGCACGACGATGTGAAGCACGGGACTACCCATCATATCCAGACAAGAGGTC